CCGTTGGCGTCTATCTAAATCCGAAACCTTGACCTAAGTTTTTTTTTCTTACTGGTTTTGGGACGGCCGTCTGGACTCCCCGATCATGTTTTCGACCCTGAAAAGTTAAAATTCAAATAAACTAATTAGAATGCATGCCTATGACAATAAAAACGAAACGAAAAATTAAAGAAAACTACGAAAAACAATAAAGCTCGGGTTGCCTCCCGAGAAGCGCTAAATTTTAAGTCTTCAGCCGGACTTTGCTTCTTGAAATTGTTATGTCCAATCCAAAGCCTTGTAGATTGCGCATCGATCCATGAACTTTGTAACTTCAATTGCAACCGATACAGGGATATGATTGCAAAATGTCAGGGTCCACTTTAGCTTGTAATCTTTCTTGGTTGTAATCAATCGGTATGAAGCCAAGATGGGATCTTCATCACCCGCTCCCTCAAATTGGTACACAAAAACCTCACGTCCGCGTATAACCTCCACTGCAAACACATTCGTTTTCTCATCAACCTCTATTGATGCCTTCAAAGCCACGTCGGGAACAATGATAAGATCCTCAATTTGAATATTTGCACTAACCACATCCATCTCCTTCTTCTCTTGTTCCGAGACATCTTTGGAGTTTAGCTCGATTGCATTGTCAGATTCATCATCCTTAAGTGTCTTCATAATTTCTTTTTCCCTCTCATCGACACTATTTTCTTGGTCTAAAGGATTTTTCTCACTACAAATTTCAAACGGATTTTCTTTGTTGCAACCATTCTCGATATCGTCTGAAATATTTTCAAGAGACCTTTGGCGCTTGAATTGTTCGAACTGTAACTCCAGTCTTCGGATAGATGCTTGAGTGGATTTCATAAATTCTTCAAGGACGGAGTTCAAATAACACTCCTGAACAGTGGGTTCTCGTGGCGTGTTGGTGTATGTGTTCCAATAACCGCCGTTGGTGTTATCTATGAAATTATTCGCTTTCGGTGCATACCAATATTGGTTAGTGTAATGATCTCCACCACAGATTGAACAAAGTGACGGCATATTATAGCTATTTTGGAGGTATTCGCCAGACGGAAGCTATTCATATCCCGTTTGAGGTGCGCGAAATATGTAACCTGTCATATTTTGTACTGATGGTGGATGTGGAATTAAGACTACTAGAAGAAGAATTCATTGCACAATCAAAATGAAAAAGTAACACTCTACATACACCAAATCACCATGTATTCTCTAATCAGTAGTCATATTCCAAGAAAATAAATTAGCATGCTCAATCCCATTAGTCCATTAGGACCACTACCGATGGAAAAAAAAATATAAATTACCCTAGCCCATGCGATGAAAAATAACAAAAAAGAAAAGAATAAAACATAAAGGCTTCATTATTCAATGAAATTTAATTGAAAGGCTAAGTAAAATTGGAGAAGAAACTAACCAAATCGCAGAATAAAACCACTCGTCCTTGCTTCTCGTGTCGTTAGTCATTGTCGCCGTCGCACGTAGCCACTTCCCGTCTCCATCGCCGCTAGGGGTTTGGAATTTTGGGTGGAATCTCAAAGAAGACAAAGGAACATGTTTTACATAATACAATGAAAAGAGATCGCATAATTTTTATTAAGGATTTATTTTAAAACGTAAAACAACCGTGTTCAAACTTTTTAAAATTGCGGATACAGCCCGACACAAGTCGCCTACTTTTAGTGAAATTATAACACGGGCCAACATCGGTGGCCGAGCCGTGTCTAGGCATTTCCGAGTGTCCAGGGTGTCGAATACGAGGAGTCTTCACCATCTACTGGGTGTCAGTGCAGTACATGTGGTTAGTTATTCGTACAATGTTTCGAAGCGTTTTGAGGCTCAATTTCATTTTGTTCCGATGAACAATATTTTGGGTAACTTTTTTGAGAAGCATAGTAATATTTGTTCATATTTTTGGAGAACATAAAAGAAAAATACAGCAGTTAAATCATGTCTAATTTTTTTTTTTAAAACAAAAAAAAAAAGGTCACGTCTAAAGACCAAAAGTGTTCCTATCATACATAAAATTAATAGTTTTTATTCGTAATTTACCTCTCCACGTTTTTCTTATTTTATTTTACTAATTTAACTACCTTTTAACCGTGGACGCGTTTTTTAGTAAATTTTGCTTAAATTAAAGGGGCTTGCTATTGTCAGTGCGGTTTTTACCAGTTGCAGTGCAAAATATTCATTTTTTTTACTTTTCCAAATCTTATCCAAATACCCTCTCAAACACTCTCAACCTTTTATTCTTAAAATTTATCAATTTTAGTAATTTTTCGACCAATATCAGTTAGAGCACAAGTATTATCGACATGGATGACAACGACTTCGATTTTGAGGTGAAAATACACGTTTTTTGTTCGTTTCCAACGTTTTTTACACATTTCGTGTTATAACACACGAAATATATGCTTTCATTTCGTGTAACACTATACGAAATATGTATTAAAATCGTTTGTTGTTTGTTTCGTATACAATCATACGAAATTCAAGCTTTCATTTCGTGGTAAAAACTACGAAATGCAAGTTCTTATTTCGTGTGTGTTTACACGAAATGTAGCTTACATTTCGTATGTTTTTCTACGAAATCCCTTAAATATTGTCTTTTAATTTTAAATATTTATGCAGGAACTAAGAGAACAATCTCACGATCATAGTCACTTCTTTGAACGTGGTATTGTGTGTGATAGTAGAGAAGCGTTAATTATGTGGGCAAAAGACACAACAATTAGTCATAATCATCGACTGATTAATCATTGTAAATCAGAAAAATATCATGTTTTAACGTGTGCAACATATCAATCTGGACGACACGTACTATTAAAGAAACATTCTTGTCCGTTCAGGTTAATTGGCAAAAAATCAACGGAGGATGGATTATGGCGATTGAGTGTGAGTAATGGTAATCATAACCATCTGCCGGGTATTTGAAAGTTTAACTTATGTTTAAATTTGTATTTGTTTTAATTTTGCATTCAAACTTATGTTTTGGAATATTTAAATTTGTAACGTTGTGTTTTGCATTTTATATGTTTAACCTATGTTTTTGGAATGATTAAATTTGTAAGGTTGTTTAAATATGTACTTTAATTGCTTCAGTTGTACGTAGTTTCTAAATTCAAATCATAAAACTAGTGAATTAAAATACAAAACAACAAACTAGTAAATTTTAAATAGTTCGTAATAATAATAAAAAAAATTAGTAAAATAATTAGTTTATAATAAAAATAAAAATAAATTATTACATTAAATAGTTCCTAACAATAATAAAAATGCATAGTCCTAATAATAATAAAAACTTTAAAATTAAATAGTTCATAAAAATACATAACTGGCAAAAAAGACCGATAAACTACCGGGCGGCGGGCTGCATAATATCTCCAAGATTGGCACGTAGATCGGCAAACTGCTGCATCCTGTCCTGTCCAGTGCTCCTGGTGATTGGGTACAGTGCACGTACTATCTCGTAATAAGCCGGCTGATCTGGTGGCCTCACATTCTCTCGATGCACTGGAGTCGGGCCTACGTCGGGGTTGTTGATCTTCGGATGGGTCCGATCGGTGTACCACTCCATGTAGTGCTCGTCGACTTCCCCCGTTGTCGTGCCGTCCTGTATGCGTTGGCACAAATGGAATGAGCCTGGACCATGTCCCACATCCCACCCGGAAATGGGTAGTTGACTTTGTACGATGTACCTCCTTTGGGACCGCGTGAACATGGCTCCATTGATGGAATCAAGCCGCGCGGTATATCATGAACCCACCCGAACTGTCGGACGCAACGATCAGGCATATACGGCTCTACGACCCACATGTACTGGATCGTGCCATGATACAACGTACGAGGGATACTCTCGTGTATATCCCGACCATACGGTAGCCACTCGACCTAAAATAAAACAATATAAATACCTAAATCAAAAAATTCATATTTAAACAAACTACAAATATAAATACATAAATATAAAAGACTTACATCATCCGCTGTCATATTGTCGAGTAAACCTCGAATATGCTCGAGCGTGCCCGCTTTTGGCGGCGCGTTCCACCTCTTGCATCGAGGCTGAAACTCACGGTAGCGCTCGCTCTCCTCCGGCGACTGGAATCTCGGGAAATACTCGTATATCCAGCACTGCAATATTTTATTTAAAGATATTAAAATTTATTAAAATATATTAAAATTTACAAAATATATTAAAATTTATTAAAATATATTAAAATGAACAAAATAAGTTCAAAATATATTAAAATTTACCTGAAGAAGGGTGGTGCAACCCGCCAAGCCCCTCGACTGTGCTCGACTGCATATACCCAACTTTCTGTATAGATTGGCCAAACAGGCCGAACCCCACGAATACGTGCCGACCTGATCAAGCACTGAATCCTCGAGCACGTGCATATACCACAGTTTCACTCGATCACATGTCTTGTCGGGGAATAAAATAGATCCGAGGAGAAACACCAGGTATATCTGAACTCGGCGTCTCATGGGCGTGTCGGGCATCAACAACTGTCCCTGTAACATCCTCCATGTGGGGCCCCCATGCTTCCATGACTCGTCAATCTCCTCAAACTCGAGGTTTAAGGCCTCGGACAGCAAATACACGCAGTTTGTCCGCTCGATGACCTCGTCGTACCTAGGCGCGGCCACCCGTCCCTCCACATTGGCACCTAGAATCATCTGGACATCGTGGAGAGTGATAGTCATCTCTCCCCACGGCATATGGAAGCTGTTCGTCTCCGGCTGCCACCGCTCCACGAATGCAAACAACAGCGGAGTATCTAGG